ATTAGTATCCCAAGATATTCCCAAGATCTTAAGTGTCTCGTTTGAGTCATTAATTTTATGTGGATGGATCTTGAAATCTTCTTTTTCCCATTTTCTCATCAGCTCAGGATCATTGGATACCCATTTACGCAAGTCATATTTGCTGCAATCATAATTTGTTTAGCTTTACGCGATAAGCTTAGAGCCTCATCTATACTGTCCTGTCCAGTAATAAAATCATCAACATAAACACAAGAATTCAATATTTCCAATACATCTGGCTACTCATCTCGATATTTCCTAATGTGTTCTTTAATTGTTGCAGCCAACAAAAACGGACTTGACTTAATCCCAAAACTTATGCGTTTGAATCTACATGTCGCTAGTTTTAGATAATTTAATTGTATAGCTTTTCCCAACACTCAGAATCCTGTGGTAGTGGATGTTCTCAAAATTCATAGAAATTTAACGATTCGAGGATATGAAGTCCTGTACTGCTGGGTTCCTGGACATGCTGGAATAAAGGGAAATGAGCTTGCAGACATCGCAGCCAAACATGCTGTTGAACCGTCTACTCGCCTTATCCCTTTTAGAGACATCTGCTGTGTCATCAAGGGGAAGATACGGAAAAAATGGCAGCAAATTTGGGATGTTCAGCATCACAACAAGTTGAGAAACGTCAAGCCTAGAATTGAGCATTGGGATTTTGCTGGAAATCGTAAAGAGGACGTTCTTTTGACTCGACTCAGAATTGGTCACACCAGAGTCACACATAACCATCTTCTCAAAGCTGAAAATGAGCCTGTTTGTTTTAATTGGTGGTGTGTGTTGGTGTATTTAATTATGGCAAAGCACACGAGGGCTATCTGCCTAAAGGGAGGGATGCCTTTCGTGGAGGACTTTCTAAGGGAAACTGGCTCGTATACACGTTACACATGGGGAAAACCACGAAAACGCCCATGCAGCCAGCCCGTTCGCGGGATTCGAACCTCAGACCGAACTAGCAGTGTTCAGGGTCTTTACTGCTCGTTTGTTTTAATTGTAATGTTTGTTTATCTGTTCGTCATATTTTAATTGAGTGTCCATGTTTTAATAGTCTTCGCCAGAAATATTTTAATAGCTGCGACTTACCTCTCGACCGTTTAATCGGAAGAGAGGTCAATTGTAATTTATTTTATTGTTTAAAAGAGATTTGCTTTTATTAACTAATGTAATTTGTTTTGAAGACTGTGTCTTGAATTTTAATATGTGCTTTTAACTAGTGTTTATATGACTTCATCCTCTGGATTTGGTACATTTATCTGCTTGTTTTTATTTATTGAATTTTAATGTCATCAATTGTAATCATCTCATCTTTTGTTTGGCGCGTCATAATCACCTCTGGTTTTTGCGCCATAGTCACTCACTCACTCACTCATTTAATTGTATATTTTCCACAAACAGGAATCGCACTGTGTCTTGATCCTTTTCTGCCAAAGCAATTTGCAAAAATGCTTTTTCTACATCCGCTGAAATTGCAACTTTATTTAATCGGAAATTAATTAGCAGATGGAACATATTAGGATTTAAATTTGTTCCCTGTCCATAGACAATCGTTCAGTGATAGCTGCCCGAACTCATGTGAGCTTGCCATCAAACACTATTCTAGTCTTCGTTGAAGCACTGGTTTCTCTAAATACCGGTTGGTGCGGTAGGTAAAATACTGGTTTACCGATAGGTATATTTCCATCTGACACTCTTTCAATGATGCCTTGCCTTACTTGAGATAATCATCTAATATTTCACTATATGTAGAAAACAGTGTTTTGTCATAATTCATTCGCTTTGCAAGAGTTTTTAATCTATTTACCGCTAATCGGTAATTATCAGCTAATTCTCTCCAGTCCCTTTTCCAAGGTAAAGTAACCTCGTAGCGACCAGCTTTAAAACAAACTGTCTTATTAAATATTTCCAATGCTTTGTTTTCCTCATGACAATAAGGATCATCTTTAATTCCTAATGATTCTAGTTCGAAAATCATTTTCAATTCACTCTCTGAATTATCATTTATTAACCCACTATACGATAAATTATTTCTCCGTGAATCATTTACATTTCCACTAACTATATATCCAAACACACTATTTTGTAATATCAAGCCTGTGTTAGGAACAGAGATTTTACCAGCTCGTAACATATCATAAAAAACTTCCGCGCCGAGCAACAGGTTTACTTTCTCCGGTTTATAAAATTCCCGATCCGCTAAATTCACCTTCTCAGGAATCGCAAGGTCACTAACATCGATAAACTTTGCGGGAGTTAAACCTGCTATTTTTGGAATTACCAAAACCTCTAGTTTCCTTTTATACGTTTGTTCCTGATTACAGATAAGGGCGACTGCTTTTCTTTTTATCGTAGTTGAAATACCTGATATACTGCAAACCGAAATATTTGTCTTTTCCCTTTTTAAATTAAGTATATCTGCTAATTCAGTGGTACAAAAACAAGAAACACTTCCACTATCACATAACGCTTTCACCTTAATTAAAGTTCCATCATTAGTCTCAATGAATACAAAGGCAGTAGATAAAATCACGTTTTTCCCACTGTTAGTACCCGTAGCGGCTGTAAAGGTTTCGTTTTGAGTTTTAGCTTGAAATGCAGGTGCGTGTACATTTAACGCATTGCTGTTTTCATCACCCAACTCCTGATCTGAAGTGTCTGCTCTTTCTGCTGTGGTGCCAACGGAATTATTTTCGTTTTGATAACACAAGAGAAAGCTATGTTTTTTTCTTACACTTCTTGCACAAGCAATTAGAACGGCAATTTCTCACACCGCGCAAATTAAAACAACAAAAACATAAATTCTGTTTTTTCACAAATTCTACCCTTTCGTTTACACTTAATTTCTGAAATTTAGGACAATTAAAAAACTTGTGATTGCTCAAATTACATAACCTACACGAATTCTGTATATGTTTTTCATTTGCATTAGAAACGACAGCGGTAACTCTATGTGTAACTTTTTTTGTGTTAGTCACACTATTTGAAGCGTTGAGAGTTCTGCATGATCTTTAAGAAATTCTATAAGATCTGTTAAATTAGGCAAATTCTCTTTCTCTAATTTTTTTTTACCCACCATATTTTGGTGTTAGGGATCTAATTTTTGCCCTAAAATGTATGCAAACACATTGGAAGAAAAACCGTTAACACTCTGATTTAAAACTTCTAATGATCTCACGCATTCATTTGTAATGTCAATTAAGTTTAATATTGCTGACGCAGATTCATTTTGCATAGAATGCATATTCATAAATCGTCTCAGATGAGCATACACTTGTTCACGGTGATTAGAGAACCTTTCTTCTAATAATGACTTCTAATAATGACTGCACAATACGATAAGCATCTCCTCTTAGCGCAGATTTTAAGTACTGTAATTTGACTGCATCTGTTAAATTAGGATTTGAATCAACACTGGCTAAAAAGATATCTTTAAATGAAAGCCACTCATGTAAGTTACCCGAAAACGTTGGCAAATTAATTTTGGGTAATTCAACATTTCTCAGTATTCATGCAAACCGAAAGCTCCGATTTAATTTCTTTGGAAAGTTTAGCTAATTTACGATTTAATTTGACTTTTACATCTAAGAGAATATCGTCAATCTCTTCTTTCTCTTTTACATAAGCATCAATACTTTCTTCCGTACATAACCCGAACGAAGAATCGAAATTAGAATTTATTTCTGTCTCAAACACTTTAAATTTATTCTTTAGTAGTTCCAAGTCAGTTCCTTGGACATTTTCGTCCGCAACCTTTTGTTTTAACTTTGTTAACTGTATTTTTAATGTACATTTTTTCGCTAATATCTCCTTTAGTGACATTTTAATTAGCAAAAGTCAATAAACAAATAAAGAGCTTCAAAAAGGTACAATGAGCTTCAAAAAGGTACAATGAGCTTCAATAAGGAGGAGGGTACTTACCCTTTTGTTTCTACAGAACTTCAATCTTGAAGTATCCTATATAATTCTTCATTTCATAAAATCGAAAGTAATATCACAGTGTCAAAACTTCATTAGCTGCTCCGGCTCGACGGACCACAAAACTTGAATTGACTTATTCTATTTCCTGTCGATAGCTGTATATCATAATAAAATAACTCCACACACATTACACTGTTTAAATACCTTTATTTTCCATAGCGACACTCAGGCGCTAGGTTCCACCTTACAGCGTAACATATAAATCGCAACTTCCAATGTACCACACAAATCGAGTTTCTCAGAGAATACATTTCAGTGCCAATTCCGGCGGCGCATGCGCCATTAGCCAACATTCCGCTCTGGCGCTAAGCATTTCTCAGCTAATACAAAACACCGCGGAATGATGGGTTTGAAGTGATCGTTACGCGATCGATCGCGAGCTCAGAGTGAGCGTTGAGTTTCAACTGAATACCAAAACAGCAAAATCAGTCGTAACTGATGACGTATCACGACTAACAATCACTAAATGTTTCAACTGAATGAGTCCTTTAGACCATCGTCTTTACGTCTGACCATCTTAGAGGTCACGGGGCTCTTCACATCTTCGTCCGAACAAGCATCAAACCCTTATCTTTCAAAAAGTTGAGACTTCCTTTCGAAACCAAATTGTAGCCAAAGTGAGTAACCGAAAAAATGTTCATTCATACATATTCATTAGCATGTGAGGTTTGTTCCCATTAGCTAAGTTTGGTTTTGCATTTTGGTGTCCAAATTAGAAATAACTGTAGGATGAAGGGTTGTGTACGTATCTGCGTCATTAACATTAGGAATTTCTGTGACGATTTTTGTCACAGAAAGGAGAAATGGCCAAATTAAAAAAGAGAGTTGAGAGATTATTATAAAATTAGTATTTTATTTTTCATATATATGTATGTATCGAATTACAGAGAGAGGAGGGGGAAAGTATTCATTTTCGCCTTTCTTCACAGTACTGAAAATTGTAATTGCCTTTGTAATTAGATTGTTAAGTGATTTATCTTTTTCTTCTTTTCATATAGCTCATTCTGCAAAGCCCTTTCATTAGAATCACTTATTGAAAAAATTGCTAGTGAGGAAGCAATCTTCTACCAGGACGAGGAGTCTGGCACAGTTTTAGTCGGTCGAGATACACCTATGTCTGAGGAAGATGGCTTTGATTTGCGTAGATATTTTACAGAAATAGCAAATGTAGTATCAATGAACTCCAGGAAACGGGAGCATCAGAATGACTATGAATTCTTGGTAACTTACCGTTTTATCACCCATGCTATTCTAGCTATCTACATTTTGGATGGCAAGAAGTTTGGAAACGGTATCCTTACCGTGTGTCTCCGAAACACAGAACAAGCAACACAAATAGTGAAACGTTTAAGTAAAAAAGAAAGGAATTTTGTCAGAAATATTTTTTGACTTCGGCTGAACAATTATTTTATGAACTGATTTTGATATCTGTCCAGCTACTAGGTTTTTAAATATTTAATAAATATCTTATCTTTTTTATGTAATTTTTCAACACGAAATTATATTTTTTCAAGTGCGCATGTAGAATTGCATGTGCGCGCACACACACGTACTTGCAAGTGAATTCATCGTTTTAATTATTAATTTTAAAATTGTTACAACATTTCGTTCCAAGAAAATTTTCAATCTCAGGGACTTTCAGGGTCTTGGAAATATAGGTCGATAGTGGGAAAAACTAATTATAATGCACTCGTGTGGAAATTTAAGAAAATTTGCATATTTTATGGCGTTTCTAAAAAACAAATAGACAAATTTTAGTGAAAGTAAGTATTTACAGGGTCTGTGCAGAAAGTAATGAGACTGATTCCATAAAATTCATTTATTTGAAGATAATTTTAGACACTTTATGTTCTACACAATAGCCTCCTCCTGCATTAATACATCTTTGTCAATGACTCTGCCACCCATTGATACCTGCCTTCTGTCTCATTACTTTTTGGATAGATCCTGTATAACAAAGAAAGAGATGTACCTTTCAAAAGCCATTTTATGTAAGTATGATTATTAGTAAAGCTTATAATATAGAAATGTCCGAAATCCACGTTATGATATCGAACATAGGAATGAGTCTAATATGGAGTATAATCCCTTCTCGCAGCGAGGCAAGTCGCGCAGCGTGATAGCGTTCTGAATAGGACGCAGGTGAGCTGTCCCTGTGATAGTCAATACCCCTCCTGCAATAAGGCAATTTCCAACTCCGAAATGGTTCTTGGAAAGAAATGGTAAGATGAAATTGCTTTCCTAAGAGCGTCCCAAACATTCTATATAGAGTTAAGGTCAGGAAACCTGGCTTGCCAACCTATGTGGCGAATTTCCACACTTAATCACAGGTAATCGTCGAGCACCTGAGCGAACGCTGCCGTCCATTAACGGAAAGAGACCGAGGACGTTCCTGAAAAGTCGAACATAAAGCTCCGAGATCTCCTCTCTATACTTCACAGCGGGTCAGGGAGCTTTTTGAACACCTGCAGCGGTGTGCGGCCGTCCAACATAATGCCTTCCCATAAAATTATACCTCCACCACAGTAATGATCTCTTTCCATGATGAGGTAAGGATGATCGCGTTCCAGGCTCTCCCCAAATATAAGAGTGCCGATAACAAGTGTCCAGGCTGAATCTCGAATTGAACTGTAAAAAGCACGGTGCTCCACTGGAATCTGGTCCTAAACGCATGTTTTCTGCAGTATGCTAAACGCGTTCTCTTATGGACTGGAGTGAACGGAACTTAAATAGCGAGTTTTCTGATGGAAGTAGGAATAAAGTAGATGCTTTTCTCCAGCTACGGCTGATGCACTTGACAAGAGCTGGTTGCAGAGTGTGTTTGGTACTTTGTTTACATCCAGAGCATGTTATCTTGACAGCGGTTGGGTAGTACTTCCACATATTCTGTACAAATCGAAAATCAGGATCACTTCTGCACAAAAGAAACATACATTGCTGGACGGGTGATTGCAATTTGTATAGTGGCATTTCTACCCAAATCACATCTTGTTTATCTTCCGATAACTTAACAACAACGATTTTGATTATGAATTCATTTTATGAAACTTTAAGCTAATGGCCTACAAAAATGTAGATTTTAGCAAAATGTTTATGCTATGTGTAATGACTGATAATTACATTAAAGTACCTTTAAAATATCAAAATATCGCAAAAATATTAAAGCTCAATTCCTTATAATTTGTATAAGCGTGAAATTTATATACTTCTTCTGATGCCTTTGATAGTGTATTTGGCACTTTTATTTTATGTTCCAAATATCAAAATGTTTTAAATAAAATACCCCTTTTTGATATCCGCATAATATTGTAACATGCACTTTCTTAAAGATTTTATAAGCGAGTTTAGCATAATGCAGAATGCATGCAATTAGGACCAGATTCCAGTGCAGCACCGTGCTTTTTACAGTTCAGTTGGATATTCAGCCTGGACACTGGTTATCGGCATTCTTATATTTGAGGAGAGCCTGAAACGCGATCGTCCTTACCTCATCATGGAAAGTGATCATTACGGTGGTGGAGGTGTAATTTTTGGACAGGCATTATGTTGGACGGCCGTACACTCCTGTAGGTGTTCAACAAAGCTCCCTGACCCGCCCTATGCTATATCTCAGAGCCCTATGTTCGACTTTTCAGGAGCCACTTGGTCTTGTTCCGTTAATGGACAGCAGCGCTCGTTCACATAGGGCTCAACTGCTTGACGATTAACTGTGATAAGTGAGGATATTAGGAAAGAGGCGTAATAGTTGCTTATTTTAAATTCACTTAGGTGTTTATACCAGGGTGGTCCAGAAAACAGGTTATAAGGGAAATAAAAAATATTTATTAATAATAGACAGAAAATACAAAAGGGTATTAAGAGGCATATTTGCGTATCATTTTCCCACATAACCACCAAACCCATTTAGGCATTTATCTGAACGCACGACCAAAGTGTTTGACCTGGCCTGGTAGAAATCACATGTCTGCCCATTCAGCCAGTTCCTCGGTAGTTGTTTTCACATCACTGGCTCAAGAGAATGTCACTCCAGATAAATGTTCCTTCAATTTCGGAAATAGTCACTGGCTGCTAAATCAGGGATATGTGGAGGGGGACTTCAGACTTCCCACTTAAACTTTTGCAGCAATTCTTGAGTCTGGCGAAAAGTATGCATTGTCAGGCAGTAGGATGACACCATCGCTCAGCATGCCAAGGCGCTTGCGTTGGTAAGGGTAACCTTGTTGTTTACGTAACCTTGTCAAAGGGGCACTATAATGATCGACAGGAACGGTATGGCCACGCTCCAGATACTCGATCAGGATAACGAATCACGGCTCTTCTCTCCAGGTGAGACCACTTTTCTAAACATCTTGAAACGGCTGTTTCAATCGATCTGATGTGTCTGAGAACTTACTCTACTCGCACAACAGCTACTAGACAAGTAGTGTCATTTGTCTACAATCTGAGAAAAAGTGTTCCCTCGACAATAATTACTTTTCAAATTTCGATCCACCTGCGTAAAATTAAAACAAAAATTACTTTGCGTTTACATATCTTAATCAAAAATTGAAATTACATCGGAATCATGTAAGCCTTGTTAAAATTAATAAATATATACACAGATGTGTTAATAAGTTAACTTTTCCATCATTTGCAACCATATACTTTTGTGAAATTGTATACAGAAATATTTGCCAAATCGGCGAAAGTGCCATGTGCGGATGTGATCATGTGGACGTGCCACATCATCATGACAGCTTATTAAAAATTTGAAAATAGGGTGACTTACAGAAGGGGAAACCTTTGTGTATTCCGTCGTAGGTGGTCCTTTCACGAATGGTCATATTGATTTCAGATTGTTAAGTGTTCCCACTCAAGTCTTTTCTTCCCGAGAATTCGAGGTTGCAGGTCTCATTCATAGCCAAAGGATGGTTTAAATATATTACAATATTTACTCTCAGTATCATAATTAAAAAGTGCCGAAACGTTGGGTTCTCGATTAACTCTCTCCTGGATTAAAGATTTCTCTCAAAAACTGAGGACTAGTAACAGCGAAGAAATTGAACACTGATTCAGTGTACTCAAGTGTATTCAAACATGAGAGTTTGCTGCGCTTATGCATACACAAGCAGATCTTCAAAACAGATTCCAGGCGTAACGTTTCCCAGGTAAGGGTAGATTTAATTTCATTTTTTTATTAAATTTTAGATTTGTATTAATTATGAAAACATAGACTAATAAAAGGAAATGAAGATAGCTTAATAGCAGTATAGTCTAATATTAAAGACTACTTTTCGACACTTAATATTTCCATTAAAAACCACTTATATTTCTCATACCGTAGAATTAAATTATAGCATTTTTTACATAATATATTATGAAGTCTCGTGTTCCTTGGCAACATCAAATATACGAAACTTCTAAGATCTTAAGTGGATTATCACTATGTCTTGAAAAATAAAAGAGTGAAAAATGGTAGAAAGAAATTTGTTTAACTCAAAGAGTAGATAGAATACGTTGGTTTTGAGCCACAGGGCGCTGGGGTGCTCGGAGAGGGGGATCTGGCGAGGGTTGCTACGTCACCAACTACGGACGCGTTGCAACCTGTTCGTGACGTTATCACACATTGTCACATCAGATTATCTTGCTATTGCTACGTCAGCCACATGTTTCATCTTGTTTGTGTTGTAATCCGGTTTCATGTCCGCGCTTATCGATTGACGTAGAACTCCCCGCTGCTCTGATGTCATACTAAATCCGCAACCTGATTGCAGCATGCAGATACATGTTAGAATTTCTAGTGCATTCTTTTTAGTTCAGCAATGGCACCGCTAGAGGGCAGTAGTCTTATCCATAGCGCTTTTTGATTGGTTTTCGGTGGATCCCGACCAAAGCCTATATAAAGAGACGCTGGACCCTTTCATATCATTTCCGTCTGTGTTGCATGCTTCGTTCCTGCTTTCACGCTTCCTGTTTGAATCAAGACTTGTTATTCGAGGTACGTATTTATTTTTATCATAGATTATGTTCGCTTTTGTACTTATGGATTCGATGTTAATATTTAGCTTTATTTTTATTAAATATTATACATAGTTTTTATGTCTTCTTTATTTTTCTTTCAGATTTTTGCTTGTGATTATTTTAATTGAACCCATTTCATTTTAACGTAAGTCATTCATTTTCGATACCTCTTTTACACTAATTTTTATTCTGTGTTTTCCCCAATTTTTTATAGATTACATTTATCGACATTTTAGCAAAATATCATTTCTAATGTAAATTTTCTTCGTTACATATTTTTTAACTTAACGATGCTCTTAAGTTTTCATGTGAATATTACCCGATCGCGAATTTCTTAAATTATATACAGCATACTTTCCTTTTCCTAATGCAATTCTTTTAATTAAATTAACAATACTTCGTGTTTCCATGTAAATATTATCGCATTTATTAAAATGATGATTTACCCTTTTCGTTCTTTCTATTTAACACTGCAATATATTTT